AAGTTATGATATATGAGTCATATTAAACAACTTTGAACTTCCACGCAACATGTAACATGACATTTTCATAAAAATTGACCTAAACTTGAAAAAGTGTCTGCCAACAATTAATCAAGATGCCATTTACAATCCATCTCAATACTGGCGTAATCTTGCACATCTAGACTTCTGTACATGTTTTTTGTGTCTGCTATTGTTTTATTTTGTGCTTACACTCATTCTTTTTCAGTTTTGGGCAAAATTTGCGAGGGTTGGAATTGCTCAAAAATCGGTGACATTGCCCCTTTAAAAAAAGCAGATAAAGCCTAGTTTCCATTTGGTCGTTAGTTGTCGCTGGCACGACAAGCGGTAGATGTGAAATAGTCTAATATAATAATAGTCTTTTGTGTGATATGAAAATCTGTCTTAATGATTGCAGAGTTTTTTGTTGACATGCACTCTATTACGTGCCAGCGACAACTAACGACCAAATGGAAACTAGCTAGGCTTAACCCAGAAAGTATGCATATTTGTAAGAGATCTGAGAGGAACACGAACAGAGGTCAGACAAGAAGCGAGGTGAAACAGAGAGCCATGGATAACAGGCAGTAGAAAATAATTAATAAACAAAATGTTCTATTGAGCGTTTAGTCGGGAGTATAAAAGTATGTAAATGTAATGATTAAAGCCCGCCGTACACGAGAGCAACTTGCTGAGCTAACCGTCTCGCGTGGCAGCTAGCTCAGCAAGTTGCTCTCGTGTGCGGACAGTTCTCGTGAGGATTTGACCTCTCGAGGCCTTGAGGAAAATATCTATCGTGTTTGATATTTTTCGCCTCGCGAGGAAAAAATCTCAGCGTCTGCGGATGTTGTGAGCTAAGTGCTGAGCTGTTTGAATCAATTAGCCAATGACAAACCATGGTTTCTTCATGTGACTTGGAACAAAATGGAGGAAAATGCAAATGATTTTGTCAATTGTGTTGTTGTTGAGTAGTTTTCCCAACGTGTGCGGTGAAAATACATAGCTGAGCTAGCTGCCTCGCGAGGCGGTTAGCTCAGCAAGTTGTTCTCGTGTGCGGCGGGCTTAAGGTGTCTATTTACGCACTAGTATGTTAGTAATGCAGGCGAAATGGGTCTACATTTATGATTTATAGGCGAAGTATAGCTATGCAATCTACCAAATCTTATCTATTGACTTTAATTTTTATCTCGAGTATATATAATAGCTCAACTTTCTCACTGTAATGCGCAGTTGAAGGTATTAAAACTGTATTGGACAATTGTTTTGAGAACACCGATATATTAAATGTTTATCTACATACTTTTGAATTTTTGATGAGTTTCGATCACGTATACGGGTGAAATTCCACGAATACCATCGTGTTTCGATTGTTAGATCAAGTCATGAAAATTTCAAAAGAGTGCATGTTCGCTCACGTTTCGACAAAAGTATATATAACTGAGCTGGAAGTTTTGTAGTTAGCTACGTTTTGATGAAGATATGGATATCGAGACTAAAATTTGTGTGATATGTGATATAACATTTTAGAAAATTCTGCTACCATATTCTTTAGAATTCGAGGCTCTGAAAGTCTGTTTAAAAGATATCCACTTAGAACTAGCAGCAATGCTAACATCTAATACATATGGATGCATCTACTTTCTTGCATTCGACCTCCACCTTTGGTTATTTTAACCCATGTGTTTTTATACAGCTTTGATAAACGCATTTGACCGACACTATACATCCAGTGTGTATCAAAAAGGTATAATCGAATTTCAGCGGGCTATTGTACGTGAATTACTTGGCGTATGAACAGGTATTTTTCATATTCGGAAAGATCAGGCTTTTAGCTGTTGAATGACATGATTTCATGCCAAGTGGAGAAAAAATAAGCAAGTACTGTAGCTACGAGCCCGATAAAAATGTTAGTGAGAATCGCATATTTTCACCTCTGCATGTGCCTAATTAAAGTAGTGCATAACAAAAGGAAAACAATTAATCACGAACTTGTCATAGCTCAGCAAAGATTTATTCCTAGCCTACTTCATAATAATTATGAATCATGTATTGAAGTGAAATACATCAACTTAAGTCCTAAAGGGGGTTAATTTCATAGATATCTTATATACACTAGATAGTGCATCTGAATTATTCTGCAATAATCAAAATTTGAAGAGGTGATTGCAGACTCAGGATATTCCCATGAAATGAGAAGATTCGTATGTTTTCTATTCCTTAAACAGGGAACTTAAACATTAAGTTAAAGTGTTAAACCTATTCCAAATACATTTTTAAACTATTCAAATGATGAAAGTTATTGTTGTTTTTTAAGCGTTTATATTATTAGCGAGTGGGAACTACCAACATGGCCGCCATCTATTCAAATGGGGGTAACCCGCTGGAATATTCTTGGCTTCAATTTTACTAAAAGAGATGCGCTATCTAGCGTATATAAGATATCTATGGTTAATTTTCAATGGTTTTAGATCCAACTCTCATGCAACAGTGAAAATATGCGATTCTGACTAACATTTTTTATCGGATTCGTATTTGCTCATTTGTTATCCATTTGTGATTTGGCATGAGGAACATGTTATTCAACAGCTATAAAGCCTGATCTTTCCGAATATGAAAAAAATCTCGTTCATACGCAGAGTAATTCAGGTACAATAGCGCGCTAAATTTTGATTACCGTTTTTTTATACACCCTGTATAACAAATAAAGCAGTGCAGTATATAATAAATTCAACCAACATAATTTTCATCAGTAGCCTATATAGGCTATATTTTTCAAAAACTCATTAATAATTCAGGAGGAAAACACAAAGAAAAATCATAAGCGTGTCGTGGTTTTATATGTGATAAAAAATCATGTTAATTTACATAAACTTTAGCTTTGATTTTCTCGGGTTAGACAAAGTTTATTTTAAAAATTACTTCGCCAATGAACTCGTATAAGATGAGTCGTTTTTTAAGCCATTTAAAGCACTTGTAGTCGTGTTTTATCACATATAAAACACTCCGCTACGCGTCGTGTTTTATATGTGATAAAACACTCCTACGCGTGCTTTAAGTACTATTTAAAGCACGCGTAGGAGTGTTTTATCACATATATAAAATACGATGCGTAGCGGAGTGTTTTATATGTGATAAAACACGACTACAAGTACTTTAAATGGCTTCAAAAACGACTCATCTTATACGAGTTAGACTTTGTCTAAACCGAGAAAATCAAAGCTAAAGTTTATGTAAATTAACATGATTTTTTATCACATATAAAACCACGGCACGCTTATGATTTTTCTTTGTGTTTTCCTCCTGAATTATTAATGAGTTTTTGAAATAGTACTTAAGATTGTTCACGCACCAACATATTTCTATTATCACAAACGCTACAACTTATTGCTTGCTATATATAACTTATCGTCTAATATCCCATGATAGCTATTTGGACGGTTTTGTCGATGAAAAATGCAATTTTCGTGAGGCTGCATATAAAGAACGTAACAGGTCAGTGGATCGAAGCCCAACTGCTGGGAACATGAACAAAGATGCCATTGGCAATGAACAATGTTTTCTAAAATTAACCCGTAATGTCCGCATTACACACTGCGTTTTAGTAAGAAAAAAGCAGACAACCCAGAAAGTATGAAAGAGATTTGAAAGAAACACGAACAGAGATCAGACAAGAAGTGAGGTCAAACAGAGAGCCATGGATAACAGGATGCAGTAGCAAATAATTAATAAACAAAATTCTCTATTGTATAGTGTTGTATAACAAACATACTTGCAGGTTTGGTGAGTCCGGGATTGGACCCACCGAGGGTGGCTGGAAGGCCACCGCCTAATGGCCGCCGCCGAAACATCGATCTCTTATCTCATACCTAGTGTATTAGCGGCTTTCCTATTGGCTACGAGGAGGTGCGTTCAATCTCGAACCCACCTGCTGACGTATGTTTAGGAGGTGGGTTCGAGATCGATGTTTTGGCGGAGGCCATTATGAAGCGATTTGAAAAAATTTCCGACGAAGATGTAAATAAAAAAATAAATTAACTGTTTTGAATTGTTTTATAATTATTATTTTTTTTATTTTGTTTGATG